GTTCCCATTTCACAGCAAGGGAATAATGAATTTTGGAGGTGATGAATACAGAGATGTTCTGCCATAAATCATAGCAAAATGGACAATCCCAAAATAAATGAACAGTAGTTTCTTCCGAGGCATTACAGAAAACACACGATGTATTAATAGACCTATTAAATCTTGTAAGATAATGAGCAGATGGGTAAAATCTGTGAATTAACTTAAAGGAGACCTCTCTTATTTTATTACTGATCATATATTTAAAAGGCAATAACCATACTTTATCCCAGCAAATGTCCGGAACCAAAGTATTCCAGTATGATATAATATATGGCATAGACACTACATCCTGTTGAAAAATAGCGCGAATAGCTCGATTGTTCTTCTTTCTTATAGTGGTGAAGCATGTTTTCCCTATGAACGTGTCGGCTGGATCCAATAGAAAAGAGGAGTCATCCGTATCATTGTCCAGGTTCTTGAAGAGCATCAGCAGTCCAGAGGGAATCGCTCCAATAGTCAATGAGTATTCCTTTAGTGTAGGACTAAAGTTAAATCGATTTTTCAGTTCTTCAAATGTCAAAGGAACACCCTGGTCATTTAAAAGCTGTTTCACCAACAGGATATTATTTTCAAACCAATTATAAAGAAATAGAGATTTAATGAGTTACAGTATATATTGGTTGTTCCAGATGTAACATTTGTGTGGGGAAAAGTTGTGTTTATAGGCTAGGTTCCACGACAATAGCATTTGTTTGTGAAAATTGGAAAGTACTACTGGGATTTTATTAACATTGATACTATCAAGCTTCTGTAGGTTAAAGAAGCGTTTTCTTTCTCAATGGAATTTTTTACTATGCAGAAATCTTGATTTAGGCCTAGTCAAAGTTTGTAAGATAATACTATAAATATTAACTATATGATTCACAAACTGTATTTACGTACCTGTTGCTGTGTGTGGTTTAGAAAATAGCAGATCTTTCATGCACTTTTCCTCCTCATTCACAAGATTAACATGAGGATGGCAACTTGATGAGGCTTTTGCCTGTAAAAAACAGTGGTAATAATACACTTGTTTTCAAGATTTTTCATAAATTTAATCTAAGCATGAATCTGATTTCTCACCTGTGGTAGTAGTACCACTCCACTGAATCCAACTTTTTTCACAGTGTCAAACAGCTTTCCTTTATCCATCAAGATTGGTAGGCTACCTATGTCCAAAGCTCAAGTAGTCTATCTGGTTAAAATGAAAAGCAAGCATCCTATGATGCAGCAGATATCCATGAAATGGTATGAAAATCAAACATGGACCTGCTCAGAATGTTGACAATTACGCACAGAATTCTTCAGGACGATCTGATAAACCCTCTTTATCAAGTTAGCTGCAGTATAATAAAACGTAAACATCCTGCTGTGACTTTAAAAATAATTCTTTTATTTTATGTAGTTCTTTATTGTTTATAGGCACAAGTAAATAGGCTGTTCAACATCAGTCTGAAAAGGGTATTGAGAAACCGGGTTGTAATAAGTGAGAATTTTAAATAATATAATACGTTTTCACTCGAACCAATTAATATTCATTAATGTATTAAATAACACGCAGCAAGCATCACAGTATGGCTGTAGTCAATGCTTTTATTTTGAAAGTTAAACAACTAACTTCCGGTCTAATGTTGCCTGATTTGACACAGCTTGACGACATTGCTACTAACAAATCATATTCGCCCACAGGGCGTTTGTCCCGCCCATGCAGACCATTGGCCTCACTATGACAACGATAGTGTTTGATAGTGGGGTCTTGCAACAACAAGCTGGATAAATGAGTAGTTTCATTCTTTTTC